CAAAGAAAAAAAAAAAAAAAAAACAAACAAATGCAAGAAACCCAACAGAAGCGGCTTGTAGGACCCTCAGTGTTCAGATCCCTGAGAGTGGAAACAAATATTTACCAACTTTGACATGGTATTTTAGAAGTAGACAGATGTATTTTTCTTCCCCCCAAAAGATACTGAATAAGTACTCCTGGACATAGCAGCAAGAGAAATTTTCCATTATCTCTGAAGAAAGATGAATCCATTTCAAAGGTGTTCTGGTAGATAAGCAGTTAGGGTTCCACATCCAGGCCCATTCAATCATGGGAATAATGCACGGAAGCAAAGTTTTCAGGTATAACAGGTAACATCTCCCTTCACTGTAAGAATTTGTTTGAAAGACAGTCGAGATTTCAGTTATACAGGTACAGAAAGTCCACCTTTGTGAACATCTGTGCTGCAGCAAGATTTTCTAAACCTGATCACGTGCTGCTTACGGGGTATTTCTACTTGTGTGTTTCTTGATAAAACTTGCAATTCTACTCAACCTTCCACAGTTTACAGTGGGTTTTTTTGTCTTACACACAAAGGATGGTACGGCCAATGGGGGAGTCTTTAAAAAAACAGCAGCAATAAGAAAGGTTAAGATCATAGAACTTGCAAATAAATAAATAGCATCCTACCATACTTTTTTTTTCTGAAGGTAAAATATTACCATGGAGAATGTAGATGGAAAAACATAATTAAAAATTGTATCAAAATACCTATGAACATAGAATGTCTCTTCTATTTGCTACTAAACTGGTCGAAATAGCACATGGGGGATGTATGATTTTAAACATTATCTAATACCTCTCTGAGAGGAGCAGTGGGCAAATGTTAATCACCTATCGGGTCTGAATGCAAACAGATAATTGTGATAAATAAAACCAAAGAATTTTTCCAACAAGACTTTCTCTTCTTACAATCACTTCTGGTAAGCAAGGTTTCCATCTTTAAGCAAAATTCAAAGATACTGACTCAGAAGTTTTCCAGCATTTTACGATGTCTCCCCACAGGCGAAGATACCCCTGGTGTCTTGCAAGAAAAATAAAAAAAAGAGGGCATATAATTTCAACAGGTGAATTTGTGAGTTAGGAGGAGCGTAACAAAATCTGTGATGCCTCAGCACTTTCTGATATCGCAGTAATGACTGAATGGGAAAAGAAAACAACACAGGATGAGTCCTGTTGTTGGCCAAAACATGATTTGCAGGCATGGAGGTTGCGCGTTCAGAGTTCCAAGAGCAGAGACATCTGGAGGAGGTTCCTGATGCTCGTGGGCAAGACAGTAATGGACAGGATATTGGGAGTATTCCTGGTATTCCATCTTGTAGCTGAAAAATTGTTTTGTGTAGTTACGCTGCACCAGTTGGTGGAGCTACAGCAGTAACTCTTTGATGTATTTAACACGAGTTCAGCATAAAGCAAAAAAAACTGGCTACAGGGGTGAAATTTGTAGTTTGTATAAAAATGTATTATCGCCCCCCCCCCCCCCCCACTTTCCAGTAGTAAGTTTTAGGTTTGCATTCAGTGCGTAGTCCTATTCTAGAGCACAAAAACGTGCTTAAACAGCTAATTCTTAGGAAAAACTTTGACAAACAGGACGTAGCTACCCAAAGTTTTTTGAAACTTCAACTGTAATCAAGCAAAACCCAATTCATCTCCCAGAGCAGAAAAGGAGATGGATACATGCCTCCTGCAACACTCTTCTGTTTTATTCAGATTTAAACACCTGGAGTCATGTTTTATCATTGGTACCTAAATCCAAAGAGAGATACTTTGTTTTGGTTCACACAAATAGAATTTCTGCTGACACGGTAGAGATGTACACAGGTTTCTGCAAGAAATGCAAATATTAGTACGAGAACTGAAACAGGAAAAATATCACAGAAGTGTTGAAATGGGAGCAAATCACTTCCAGTTACTGTGTTTCACTTGTGTAGCCATAGTGCCCTCTAGCACTCAAAAGAGAAAATACAGGGCTTTATCTCAAGGAAAAAAAAATACACAAAAGCAGAACTTTTTTTTTTTTTTTTAGCAGAGAAAGGACAGTTTGCAAATGTGAGGAAGAACATTTCTTCATGTTAAAACAGAGCACTTTAATGGAAAGGACACTTCTCTCAGCTTTTATGCAGCAGAGTCCTGCAGAGCTGGGAAGCTCTGTAAAATGAGAGTTCTTGCACCCTAAAGGCATTTCTGTGCTTCTGCAGATCTCACCTACACCATACAAGCATTAGCAACACGCACACGATTTTGGCAAAAGGATATAGATTTTTACATGCACAGATCAACATATGTTTTTGTGAAGTCTTTGTTTTCTCTACAAGGAAAAAACATTTTGGCTCAAACACCCTTATTGCAAAAAACTCCGAGCAAGATGAAGAATAAATCATGACCTTTAAAACCTAAGAAACTTTTCTCGTTTCCCTAGAGAGCAAATTATTGTATAGAGAGAAGAGTTAGTGTGCCTTGGAGCTGAGAAATTTTCTGTCTGGCTGCAGATCATTAGGAAACATTTTGGGGGAGTTAGCGTTTCTTTTTTAACTTTGCATTTAAAAGAAGTTATTGTTTAGCGACTGGGAAACGGTCACCTGCTTTGTTCGAGTTTTGAGGCCTGTAAGTAACATTTCTGATTTCAAATAATCTCCATAGCTTGTCAGGAGGAACTGTAAATACCAGGCTTTTTTGGGTTTTTGGGGTTTTGTTTTGGTCATAGCTTGTCAGGAGGAACTGTAAATACCAAGCTTTTTTGGGTTTTGGGGGGTTTGTTTTGGTTTTGTTTGTTTTTTGTTTTTGTTTTGTTTTTTAAAAGAATCTCCATAGCTTGTCAGGAGGAACTGTAAATACCAGGCTTTTTTGGGTTTTTGGGGTTTTGTTTTGGTTTTGTTTGTTTTTTTGTTTTTGTTTTGTTTTTTAAAATAATTCCTTTAAAAAGGAAAAGTATATGTAAGTATATAAAAAGATTCATCTCTTTAAAGACAATATTTACCCATCAAATTATCATCCAAAACTCTTATGTGAAACTGCAACACAGAGAAGTAAAATAGCGTAAAAGGGTAAAAAGACAGTTTTACGCTTTCTGCATCCTGAAAGTCAAAATAAGAAAAAAAAAAGTCTACTGCAGATGTTTCTTGGAAAAATGAATTTTAAAAGAGTACATGCTTCAGATTTTTTTTTCACCAGTTGCTGTCAGGGAAACACTAAACCCCAGCTCATCAACTAGCACAGACAGATTTGCTGAATGTGACATTCCAGACTTTGCCAGTGAAAGATGAGAAACTGAACTAGTCTGTTGGAAGCAGGAAGGATCTTGGAATTCAAGAATTCATATTGTAACATCAAAATTATTATAAAATACCACAAGGTCAGATGAGATGATTTTCAAAGACTTCAACTGGTCGCAGGATTACAAGCTTACTGTAAGAAGAAAAAAAATAATTAATCTTCACTCAGATGGACAAAGTATCAACACTCAGATAAGCTTTATCAATAACACATATAGGATTTTACAGCTAATGATCCATTAGGAAAAAAAGAAATTCCTTGTGCAGTATGTACTTCAAATCCCTCTCATTAGCATTCCAATTAGATCTAAAGATAATTCCAATAAAAGACTGAAATCACTGAAGTCTATTTTGGTTGCAAGTACTTTTGATGTCTACAGATTTAAAATATGGTTCAGAATAAAACATGCAAAGACATATTAAAGTAAAAAATGAAATGAATTATTTTATAAAACTACAGTATGTGAAACACTAGTATGCTTGTCATATAGTTGCCTAAAGGTCTACATGAGTACACAAAATCTAAAAGTTCATTTTCACCAAGGATCAGTTTACAGCTATATATGCTTAACTGAAAAACATAATTTTTTTGAATTTTTTAAATCTTGGTCAAGAACTTCTAGTTTGTCTGACTTACTGGGTTCATTTGAAAGTAATCAAGTGCTGTAACATCAGTACAGTAAGAAACAGCTCCACTCAGAATAGGATGAAGAAAAATCAAAATTGCTAGATTTTCATACTTAACTCCATCACCTTTTTTCCCCCCACAAACCCCTCAAATTTCTGCTATTTGTTCCAGTTGTTCTAATATTAATTTGTTAATTGTACCTTTTATTAAAATCAGCAAATGAAGTATACAGCATTTAATCTGATGATATCTTCTTTAGTTGCCACATTAAAACTATGTTTAATTACAGTGAATAGGTGCTTCATTGAAGGTCTATGCCCCTTGATGTTATTTTGTGCATTGGTACAACAGTAGTGTACGCCTCGGGAAAAGGAAAACCCCCATCAACTTTTGGTCAGACCTACTAGTTCAGGGATTAATTAAAAAAATACAGGGAACATCCAAAATAACTTCCTTGAGTCAAAACCAAATTCTTGTGCACCTTTTTTCTGCTCTTTTTGTACTCATGAGGCAACTGATGATTACAAATTGTCCATTCCATCTGAAAAAAACCCCTCAAGTAAATGTAGTTTTTAAAAACTATCCGAGTACTGACAAGAACAGTCAGCTTAATTAATTTGGGGACCTCTGGACGGTCAACAATAAAAATGGATGTTTTAAATTAGGCACAATCGTGCTACGCTGTTCTCAGATACCTAAGATACCTCTTGACTCCTCTTCTAGTTAGGGAATAGAGACTGTTTTCAGAGCATGGTTTAGAACAGAAACCTACTTCAAGTGCCTGAAGTTATACAAAGACTTTTCAAGGGGTGTTTTTTCTTTTTAAGAAATGCGTAGACTTGGTTGCAAAATCTATCCTGTACCCTTTGTGTTTCACTAATAAACAACTTCTATTTCTCCAATGGGTTTTCTGTTTTGGAATAAATGAGTTTTAAGAGAACTAAAAATACAAATACATCGCCCATAAGTAATGCTTATTACTTTATTCTTGTTACTTTACTGTTTTGTAGACAGACTGTAATATAGCCTGAATTACTGACTCCCGTTACTTATATTTTTCTGTAGTCCAACCAAATGTGGTTTATGACAATATTGTCACTGAACTACATGTCAGAACACATCTTATTCAAGCCCTTTAGCAACGAACTGGAAGAGAAAAATACCTTCTTAAGTGTTTACCTTCTTTGCCACAGAAATTTTGAAAAGCTGTCCAGGGGAAAGCAAGGTAACCCCATTCTCGGCGTTTCAGACTAGGAAAATCCATTTGCAGAACTGTTAAAAAAAATACAATGATTTAGCTCATCACAGCGGAGGCACACTTGGGAATGCATTCAGAAGGATGAATTAGGCAAAGAAGGGAATGAAAGGCAGCAGGATGCTCGGGTTGTTGATTCCAACAAGGAAGGATGCTGCTCCAGGTGACAAGAGATTTCACTGAAGGCCATGCTGATAAGGATCTGACTGAAGTGGCAAGAGTTGGTTACGGTAAGAGTGAAAAAGGGAGAGCAGAGCTAGAGAAGGAACACAAGGGCAGAGCAAGCCAAAAAGAAATCAAATCAAGAAAGTTATTAGATAATGACAGAAATACGTACAGAATCCACAGATTGCAACTGGGACACACGGCTCTCTTACGCTGAATGGCAAATGAGCACAGATTAGTCTTGACTGAACCAAACATTTGGGTTTGTTTCTTAAAGCGAGAGTAAACCAAGCCATTCTGCTCTAGGTGGTTTTCAATCATGCAGAGTGTCACCAGGTAACAGCAGGGGACAAAATAACAAGCCAGTAAGAATTCCTCCCCCTGACACCCTTCACTGGTGGCAAAAAAGAATTTTAAAAGGTTTCCTCCCCTTACAGGCAGACCAGGGTGCAAACAGTTACTGAGAAACGAATCTCACGTGGATGCATCACTGGGCTGAATTCAAAACAAGCAGGCAAACCTGGAATATTCATTTTTAAATTATGTGACACGGCAATTTCAGATGATTCGTAAGAACCACCCGTGCAGAAGAACACACTAATAGTTGCCATTAGCTTGTGTTGACTGACCACAGTGAGAAAGGCAGCTTTGAGCACCAGACAACCACCTTAAGACAGCATCCACCATCCTTTCCTGTGCTCTATCTGTTCTTTTAAGACAACACACAAAAAAGCCTTCACCTCCCGGACTGTCAATCTGGCACCCTTCTGATGTACTCAATTATTAAAAAAGAAAAGTAGGAAAGCTTGTATTTAATTCAGTGAACTAGAAGAGCTCATTCAGAGCATTGGATAAAAAAACAGTTCTTAAAACATTTTATTTTGCCTGAAATTCAGTGGAAAAGGAAATCAATTTCCCAAATACAATTCCTTATGGCAAGATTTAGAACTTCCTGTAACAAGCATGGCAGTTAATTGTGAAATTTCAATGTGAAACTAAGTCTATACAAAAATTTTAACTGCCTATTTTTGCAAAAAGATATGCATACACACTGGGACATAGGGGGGAAAAAAAAACCAAAACAAACAAACAAACAAAAAAATCAAAACAACGCCAAA